AAGGCGCAGAGCTGTCCAGCTTGCAGCATTCGGGATACCTGGGCCTGGCGTGCAGCAATGCTCCATACCTGGGCGCGACTCTCACCTTACAGAGCATCGCTGAGGACACCGGGCCTGGGTTCTAGTCCTGACCCAGCACGTCCTGGCGAGGCCTCCTCTAAAGTGGGGATAAAATAGCTCTTAGCCCAGGTCCTGGCTCAGAGAAAGTGCTCAGTGAATGGTTGCCATTGTCATTACTCTTCTCATCAGTTTTGCCCCGAATAACACCGGCACCTCCTTGGCAGTTTGGGAAGCTACAGGAAAGGGGAAGAGCAAGAGAAGTGGATATAGAAACGGTGAGGAGACCCTGGCCGGGTGGCTCAGTTGGTTGGAGCATCATCCCATACACTGAAAGGTGGTGGGTTCAATTCCAGGTCAGGACACATACCTAGGTTGTGGGTTCAATCCCCGGTCGGGGCATGCACAGGAGCAACTGATTGATGTTTCTCTCTGTCTTTCTTCCTCTCTCTCTATAAACAGATCAATAAACCTATCCTTGGGTGAGGACTGAAAACCAACAACAAAACCAAAACCACAAACAGTGAGCAGGATTCCAACACTACAAACATGCATGGAGCTATGTTTTGCCAGCCACTTGCATGTACATGTTACTTAATCTTCATGAAAACCTATGCAGCCGGCGTCCTTCATGTCCACTTCATGTGGTGAGATGAGCCACAGAGAAGGCAACTTGCCCAGGGCCACAGAGCCCATCCACAGCTCAGCTGGGGGCCCACAGGGACAGCCCATGGTTTGGGGAAGGCAGGAGGGGGTGAGCTTGGTACTGTCACTCCTCTCCAGCCAGGACATCAGGCTCTGGCCCCTGAAAGCAGCAATTCGACCTCATTTTGGCCTCCACGTTCTTTAGGCCCATGAATGTTGAGCGCTAAGTCGTCTGAGAGCTGGGCGCTGGCTGGGAGTGGCGGGATGGGCACGTGTCTGGTGCATCCCGGCCCTTGAGTAACCAAGCCAATGTCCAGGCAGCGCTGGGCTCGGGGAGGCAGCTCTGTGCGTGGTGGACGCCTGCTCCGAAGCCGAGGCTGTGGGGCCCTCTTTCGGCCCCTCCTGTATCCCAGGAGAGCAGATTTTCCCGAGCTTCCGGCTCTGCCCCCTGCAGGCTGAACAGTGACCTGGCATCTGGGAGGGCAAGGAGGACGGTCTCCTCCTACAAGGGGTCAGTGGCCGAGGGCGCCCGGGAGAGGGAGGCTGGCAGGGGGCCAGGATCTCAAGGTGGCAGCGGCAGCAACCGGGAAGACAGTCCCAGCTCCTCCCCCAGGATCCCTGTCCAGGAGCCCAGGCAGCGAGGCCTGTGGATGCCACTTCCCAGACCCAGAGCCTGAGTCATTTGCCCGAAGGTCGGGCATCTGATAAGTGACAAGGCTGGGAGCCTGACCGGGTCAGCATGACCCCAGGCCTGCAGTCCTGCCACCTCATCACAGTGCTGTCTTCCTGTGGCAGACCTGCCTGGAGCATCGGCCCTGGGCCCGAGTGCCCAGCCCTCTACCGTATGGCCTTGGGAGTCAGACTGGGCATGGGGTTCAGGCAGCGCCCTCCTCCCCTGAGGGTGTTTACCTCCCTCTGCCCCTCCTCCTGACGCCCTCCTCCTGACGCCCCTGCTGTCAGACCTGGAAGGGTCCATGGAGAGCATCTTACTTATGTCTTGTTTGATGAACAAGAAAACAGCAGCCCAGAAAGGGCCAGCGGCTTGCCTGGGGCCACAGAGCAAGCTGGAGGCAGAGTTGCGGAACTCAGGCTTCATGGGCGGGTCTCACACTGTCCCCTCCTTCAAGGATGACACCTTGTCACAAAAATGTAGAAGGGACCAGGCACAGCCAGAACCAGCCCTGTCTGTGCAGCTGTTTAAATATTGTAAGAATCCCTAAAACCGACCCGTGCGCTGGCGGATGGTGACGGTTCCCAAGTGCCCCACTACAGAGGCACCTGGAGGAGCCTCCAGCGCAGAAATCAGGCTCCGCCAGTTCTCTGTCCCCAGTTGTTCCCATGGAAGAGCCAGGCAGTTAGACCAGGGCCCTGGTTTCCTTCCAGCCACCACCTCCTGGAATCCCAGGAGCTACCTTCCACGGCGGAGGACGCTGCTGCCAGCCTCAGTTTCCCCATCGGTGACACCTGGCTCCCTACCTGCTTGTGGGACTCACCAAGAGCCCCCTCCTGGAGAGGCAGGGCTCTGAGTGCAAAGAGGGCTTCGAAGAGAAGCCAGGAATTCGCCGCCCTGTGTCCGGCCTTAATGCAGCAGACCCGCTCCAGCCACGCCCCTCCCTTCCCGGGAGTAAGTAAGCCCTCTCCCTGCGCAGGAGCCCGACCTCAAAGGCCAGCCCACAAAGGGGCCCTGACATCCTTGTGAACAATGTCGCCTGTTTACCTGACAGATTGTCTGCTTTCTTTTCATCTCAGAGGAAAGAGCTCCCGCTGGGAGCCGCTAATCCCAGAGTAAACAGATGACCTCGTGGTGCCTTTCTCCTGGAGGTGGGGTGCCAGCAAGCGCCCCAACTGTGCAAACAGACCTGGAGGCTCCTGCGCCTGCGGGGGGCGTGGTCCGGGCCTGGTCGGGAGGGGCCGTTCCCTCCCCAGCCCCTCTCTCCCTTTGTGTTTCACATTGAATGGGGGGAAGCTCAAAGGCAAGGGCATGAGAGGTCAAAGCCAATTTGCAGGGCTGAGCCTGGGGGAGGAGAGAAGGCGAGAGACCCAGTGTGCCGAAGCCTGACCTTCACCTGAACACGACCCGACCCTGGCCTCTCCTCAGCCTCTGAGCTCACTGCCCAGGCAGAGCTGGCTGGCGACCCGCTGCTCTCTTACTAGCTGTGTGACCAAGGCCAGCAACTGCCTCTCTGAGCCTCGTGTACTCGCCGGGAAAGCAGGGATGCAGACCCCTCTCTGTGAGGGCTGTTGTGAAATATTGTGGTGTGTTCTCCGCAGCAGCAGTGACTTATGATGAGGGAGGGAGTGAGGCTAAGCCTGCAACCAGCTGCCAGCAGAGCGGGGAGGGGATCCCGGACTGGGGGCAGGCAGAGCCGGACAAAGACGCTCAGTTGGGAATGAATAGGGCCTGTATGGGAGCGAATGAAGCAGCCTCTGAAACAACATATTACGTTTCAGGGCTGTTATCTCTGGGAGGGAACCCGGATTCCCCTTCCTGGCAGGATGACCTTGACAGCAGCTTGGCCTCTGCCCTTCAGTTTCCTCCTTGACGAGGGGCCCAGAAGTCCTGCATCCAAGGCTCTCATGAAGGGAGCAGGACCTGACACACAGCAGACACTCACCAAACGTCTGCTCCCGGGTGAGAAAGGGCAGGTGCCCCCTCCCCGAGAGCAGCTGGGGGGCGGGATGAGCGCTGGCAGCCCGGCTTCGCTGCGGAGGGCAGCGTGGCCCTCACGCACGGTGAGCCCGGGCCTGAGTGCTGTTCCTTCGCCCTCCTGTGCTTGCCCCTCTTCTCTTGGCATCCAGGGCATCTGCGGCTCCCAGCCCTCGATGCGGAAAAGGAGGAGAGCAGAGGGTCCCTGTGGAGGCCGGCGGCTCCTGCTGCACTGGGTCCCCATCGCACACATGCAGTGTGTTCCCAGGTCCCCGGCTTCCCCTTTTAAAGGGAGAGAGGGCTAAGGGGAGGGAAGGCGAGGAGGGATGAAGTATTTAATGGGCATCTTAAAGCAAGCTCATAGGGATCAGAAATGAGTTTGGCCTCACTTAACAGCACACTCAGCACACTGCAGCTTAAACAAGTGAACATTTATATTTCGATCACAGTAAGAACCCTGGGAAACGGGAAGCTGCTGGTCTGGGTCAGCTGCCGGTGATGCCAACAGGGACGGGGCTCTTCCCAGCTTTCTGCTCATCGTCCTCAGCACGTGGGCCCACTTGTTCCTCATGGTGGCAAGGTGGCTGCCTCAGCTCCATCAGGAAAGTAGAGGGTCTCCCAGGAGCCCCCTGTTGGTGCCTTATTGGCCAGATGTGGGTCACATGGCCACTCCTGGTGGCAAGGGGTGCTGGGAATGCAAATACCTGAGTGGACTTCTCCAGCCTCCAGCAAGAGGCAGACAAGGGTGGGTAGGGAACGTGGGGTGAGGGGATGGGTAGGGAGTTATCCAAGCATCTCCCTGCCGGAGGAGATGGCGGACTCACCCCAGCCTCACAGAGCAGAGACTGATGCCAAGGGCAGGGAAATGCTCACTCAATAAGCATTTGATTGATTTACTTTGCCATTCTGGGCTGGCAACCAGAGATGCAGAGATAAAAGCCACCCCTTGCCTTCCAGAGAGAGAAGGAGAACAATAATAGTAATAAAAACAATATAAGAGCTAAAATTCACTGAGCACGTACCAAGTGCCAAGTGCCTGCTGGGCACTTTCCAGACTTGATCTCTTCTCATGCCCACTCCAACACCAACGACAGGCAGGATTCTATCTGCTGTGGAGGAAGCCAGGGCTCAGCAAGGCCCTGACACACAGGCTGCCCGCCACCTGCATGAGGTGGTTCATGTAAGAGGCCAACTATGAATCAGGCTCACGGGCAGTTCAGGGGAACAGGGTGCCACACGCCCTGGGGAGGGCACGGAGGTTTCTGGAGGTGGGAAGATGTATAGGATCTGGAAGCACCAATTGGAGAATCCCAGTGAGACAAGGCGAGGGCACTGCCCTCGGTGAGGAAAGACATCTGCAAGGACATCAGAAGTGACTTGAGCAAAACCTGAGGCAGCCCTAGAGTCTGTCCACTCACACTTACCCAGGAATTTCTGTTTTTAAAAGAAGCATTGCAAATAATACATACTGCTAAAATACATGAGCAGCATGAGTAGTCAAAGAAAGGCAAAAATATTGAATATAAAATGTCTTCATTTATAAAATTGTCAGAGATTTAAAATAAAGCATATTGACACTTGATGCTGGTGATGGTGTGGTGAAATCGACGCTGTGCACACACTGCTGGTGAGAGTAAATTCTTTAAAATGTGCTGACCTGTGCAGCACATAGTACACTAAGGAACGATACAGAGAAGGTTAGTCTGGCCCCTGTGCAAGGATGACAAACAAATTCCTGAAGCGTTCCATATTTTTCAATAGGCAGTGAATTAAAATGCTGTGGTGCACATATACAATGGAATATTACACAGCCATAAAAAGAACAGAATCTTACCTTTTAAGACAGCATGGATGGACCTAGAGGGTATTATGCTAAGTGAAATAAGTCTAAGAAAGACAGATACCATATGCTTTTATTTATATACTAGAGGCCCGGTGCACAAAAATTTGTGCACTCGGGGAGGGGGGGGGTCCCTCAGCCCGGCCTGTGCCCTCTAGCAGTATGGGACCCCTCGGGGGATGTCCACCTGCTGGCTTAGGCCCACTCCCCGGGGGAATCAGGCCTAAGCTGGCAGTCAGACATCCCTCTGGCAGCCCGGGAGCCCTTGGGGGATGTCTACTTGCCAGTGGGAAGCAGGCCTAAGCTGCAATTGGACATCCTTAGTGCTGCTGAGGAGGTGGGAGAGGCTCCCGCCACCACCGCTATGCTGGCAGCCATCAGCCTGGCTTGTGGCTGAGCAGAGCTCCCGCTGTGGGAGCGCACTGACCACCAGGGGGCAGCTACGGCATTGAGCATCTGCCCCCTGGTGGTCAGTGTGTGTCATAGTGACCAGTCATTCCCAGTTGTTCTGCTGTTAGGGTCAATTTACATATTACACTTTTATTATATAGGATAAAGGCCTGGTGCACAGGTGGAGGCTGGCTGGTTTGCCCTGAAGGGTGTCCTGGATCAGGGTGGGGGTTCTGCTGGGGTGCCTGGCCAGCCTGGGTGAGGGGCTGATGGCTGTTTGCAGGCTGACCAATCCCCCCAGAGGGGACCCTCTCCCCATGGGGGTGTGGCCAGCCTGGGTGAGGGGCTGAGGGCCATTTTCAGGCTGGCCACACCCCCTTTAGGGTGGAGGTCCCTGCTGGGGTGCCTGGCCAGCTTGGGTGAGGGGCTGATGGCTATTTGCAGGCTGGCAAAGGCCCTTCAGGGTGGGGGTCCCCACTGGGGTGCCTGGCCAGCCTGAGTGAGGGGCTGAGGGCCATTTTCAGGCTGGCCATGCCCCTGGCGACCCAAGCTCCCAGCCTCTCCTTTTTTTCTTTTTTCTTTTTTTTTCTGGGATTTATTTATCTTCTATAATTGAAACTTTGTAGCCTTGAGTGGAGGCCAGGTCCCGCTGGAAGTCTAAGTTGCCCCTGGCAACCCAGGCTTCCAGACCCTCCTTGAGCAGAGGCCACGGTCGGCTGGAAGCAGGTATCTGGGATTTATTTATCTTCTATAATTGAAACTTTGTAGCCTTGAGCCAAGCCGAGGGCCGGCCACGGCAGGCGGGAAGCTTGGCTTTCTCCATCGCTGGGGGCAACCCAAGCCGTCTCTTTGCTCCAGCTCTGTGGTCTTGCCGCTGCCATCTTAGTTGGATTAATTTGCATACTCGCTCCTGATTGGCTTGTGGGCGTGGCTTGTGGGCATGGCTTGAGCATAGCGGAAGGATGGTTAATTACCATGTTTCTCTTTTATTAGATAGGATGGAATCTAAAGAACAACATAAACAAATAGAATAGAAACAGACTCATAGATATAGAGAACAGATTGATGGGTTCCAAAGGGGAGGGGAGTTGGAGATCTGATGAAAACGTGAAGGAATTAAGTACAAATAGTTACTTACAAATAGTCATGGGGATGTAAAGTACAGCCTAGGGAACATCTATACTAATAAAAGGGTGATATGCTAATTAGACCGGACATCCTTCAGGACAAAGTCATGGTGGAGGGGACCGAGGCAGAGGTTGTTAGGGGGCAATCAGGCCACAGGGATGGGCAGTTAGGGGGCAATCAGACCAGCAGGGGAGCAGTTAGGGGTGATCAGGCAGACAGGCAGAGGCAGTTAGGGGCATCAGGCTATCAGGCAGAGTGGTTAGGGGTGATCAGGCAGGCAGAAAGAGTGGTTAGGGGTGATCAGGCAGGCAGGCATGCAGGCGAGCGGTTAGGAGCCAGCAGTCCCAGATTGCGAGAGGGATGTCCAACTGCCAGTTTAGGCCTGATCCCGGGAGTCAGACATCCCCCGAGGGGTCCCGGATTGGAGAGGGTGCAGGTCGGGCTGAGGGGACCCCGCCACCCCATGCATTAATTTCATGCACCGGGCCTCTAGCCTATAAAAATAAAATTGTAATATGCTAATTAGACCAGATGTCCTTCCAGACGAAGCCAGGGAAGCCCAGGTCCCAGATGCCAGAGGAAAGCCGGTACTGGCAGCGGGGGAAAGAAGGCCTACTCTTGCACAAATTTTGTGCATCGGGCCTCTAGTAGTCAATAATATTGTAATAACTATGTGTGGTGCCAGGTGGGTACTAGAAATATCAGGGGAACACTTTGTAAAGTATATGATTGTCTGACCACTATGCTGTACACCTGAAACGAACACAAAATAATGTTGAATGTGAACTGTAATTGAAAAATAAAATTAAAAATAAATAAAATAATAGAAAGTAAATAAAATGTGCTGATCTTTCGGCTTTGCCTCTGGAAATAAGCTTGAAGAAGTGATAAATAAAAGGACTGTGCAGGACAGGTAATTTATTGAAATCTGAATTTGCCTTTTCGCCCCTGCATTTTCCCCCTGAAAGCCCCAGATTTGTAGGTGACCCTTGCCTATGTCCCGATCCCAGCGGCATTGGAAAAACCCAAGCAGCAGCTCCTGACAGGTACCCGTCCTTTGGGAAAAAGGACCATCAGGAAAGAGATTGCACAGGCAGTCCCCAAAAGGAGTGGGTGGGGGCGAGAGTTTGAGTAGGAAGGGGGAAGGGTCCTGGCCGCTTGGAAGGGCTTCCAAGTCCCAGCGGTGGGATGGGGCCCCTGCATAGCAAGGACACACCATCCAGGGAAACGAGTCAAAGCGCACCCCACCCAGTGTCCTGAGCCCCAAACCTGGCAGCTCAGCAGCCACTGGATACCAAGGAGCACGCCCACTGGAGGAGGGCTCCCTCTGGGCCGCCGCCCACGGCGCCTGCACACCGTGCACACTCCGGGACCTCGGCATGAACCCGAGGCAGGGAGCTCTGAAAACGACCGAGGTGATTTCCTGGCCAGGCCTTAAGTAGAATGTAATAAAAACTTTAAATGGGACATTCGCATGTATCTACATTTATGCAAAAAAAATTAAGGTAACTGAGTATAGAGTTATCTTGTTTTGCTTTTTTAAACCAGGAGTTAAATATTTCCATAGAGAGATGCCAAAGTGCCCTGCCGGTGTTCCCTGAACTCCAGGCACATACCTTTTCCATTGCACCAACCCGGCTGCAGGATCATTATCTATATTTAGTGTCTCGCTGTCCTTCGAGGTTCTTGATCCTGGAGGCTCATCAGGATGATCTCTTGTTTACCTCCATATCCCCAGCGCCTTGCACAGCGCCTGGCAATCACTCGGGGAATGAATGGGGGACTAAACAAGTACATGAATGAGTGAGTGAGCGAATGAATCAATGAACTAATAGGCATCTGGCGTGTGAGATAAAGGGCTGGTGAGGCTGTCCTATCAGCCCCACACAGCGCTCCTGGCAGCCTGGAGAGCTGTGCGGGCAGCAGAGTTAACTGGAAGCCCAGCCTCGGGGAGTGTGAACAGCCCTTCTCCAGGCAGGGCCGACTGGGAGCCTTGCGGGCAGCTTGCACAATCCTGTGGGCTGCTGTGATTCTCATTTTTGGGGCATGGAGTCATCTCTGCCGCGGGCCTCTCCCTCCTTGCCCTGGATTGTCTCTTGGCAACATAAAAGGAACTGTGTGTCTGTTGTCCGTGGGAAGAACTTCAGTCCCCCATCCCCTCTAGGAAGCCTGACCTGATCGACTAGATCTGCCCTGGGACACAAGGAGGCAGGGCCTCAAGGGAGCTTGGAGCTCATCCTGCCCAACCCCTTCATTTCACCTCCTTCCTGAGTCCCAGTCGCCTGAGACCTTAAGAGGGGGGACACAGCCCACTGCAAGTGTGGCAAAACTTGGCATGGAGCTAGGTGTCCTGGATGGCACCTGGTTTCAGAACCAGTCAAACAGGGCTGTACATTCCTGCACAGCCACTGTCCAGCCTGTGAATTTGGATCAGGGACCTGTCTTTCCTGAGTCCCAGTCCCCTCATCTGCATTGCATCACATGCAGGGCCGCTGTGGAGACCGCCTGCCAGGCCCCTGGAGGTGCCTAGCGCAGTGCCTGGCTCAGCCTGGCGCGTCTGCCTCCCACTTCCTCCTGCCCTTTCTTTCCTAACTTCTCCCACTCACCATTTCTCACCATTCCTCCATGTCTGGGCATGAAGTGCCCCTTCTCGCCGAATGCCCCACTGCAGGAAAATTTACTTCCCTGATTGGCTGTGTGTGATGTCATGGCTTTAGATTCATTTGTATCCACCTACTTTTTCTCTCCTCACGCACCTCTTGAACTTGCCAAATTCATTCATATGTTCCTTTCTCCTTCCCTTCCTGCAAACGTTGCCAGGCCCCTGCTGTGTTCCAGGTACCTGCTGGGCAGAGGTGCTCTTGGCTGGCCTCTGCCCTTTAAGAGCTCACCGATTGCTCGAGAGAGGCCGTGTGGGCAGTGACAGCTCAGGGAAGGAGAGCTTCCATGCGTTTTCCTCTGGGCCGAGCTCCAGCTCTAGGGGCTGTCCGGGTGCAGGTGGGTTTCCGGTGGGGAGAGCTGGAAGGAGCGCACAGAATACCTGGCCCTGAGGAGGAGCCTGTGAGAGTGTCAGAGTGGAGAGAGGCTTTTTACATCACCAGCAACGCCAGAGCCGTGGGGCCCAGGGCTGGCAGGTGACAGGAGGCCTGACTCCGGTGCCAGCCTTCAGAGCCCGGCAATGACTCACTAACCTGCGGCCCCAGAAGGGGCCACGCTGCAGGGGCACGGCTTGTTCTCCAGGGGCTGGTGTGAGCCAGGGCGCCCTGTCACTCAGGCCCGCGGGTCAGGCTCGCACGCTGTGTTCATTGCCCACATTACTCACTGTTTTGTTACCTAAAATACATTTAATTCCTATTAATAATGAGCACTGCAGGGCAGAGATTTCATCATTCGCACT